GTCTTAGTAGTATCCAGGTCACCTTCAGACACTCAGACCTGAGCCAGCAGACAGAATTAACTAGCCTTAGAGGTAAGGGTCAGGTTCAGCCCCTCGCAGATGATGGGAGCACCTGTGTACAAACGCTGCAGGAACACTGTTCTATCTGAACACATGGGGAGACAGGGAGCAATCTGTTCCATCATCCCTCAGGCCCTGGACTGGGCACTTACCTCACAGCTGGGACTGTCTTAGTTCTCAAGAGTTAACTGCTCTCCACACCAGGAACATGGTGTGAAGTACATTTCTTTGAGAATAAGGTCTGTTGCTGTGTGTCATATATGTGATGTGTGTGTGGTGTGCTGAATGGGGTACGGGACAGAAAGTGTATGTGGTATAGTGTGTGTGTGTGTGTGTGCGCGCGCGCGCATGTCTGGTGTGGAGGACTGTGTTTACATGTAAGGCATGTGTGTATAATTAGATATATATGGTGTGTTCATATGTGGTTTGGAATATACAATGTGTAGGTGGCATTGTGCATGTATGAGTGTGGTATGGCACATGGACATGTTGGTGTTCAATGAGGATCAGAACACATAGAGGCATTCAAAAGAGTGACCCACTTCTACCTTGCAGAAACAGTCATGCCTCTTCAGAAGTAGAAATCTGAAAGATCCCCAGTTTTCCTGCTGTCTCCATACCTTTCAAAAGTCCTGGCACTCTAAATTATTATCTCCACAAACCAATATGTGGGTCTTATGAAAGACAGAAAAGTGGGAGTACTGGGGACCAAAGAGCAAACCCTTGGTGCCAAGATCAGCACAAAGAACGTCTCTGTTACAGTCTCTGTGGGATATAGAGTGGGGTCTGAGCCAGAGGGGAGGATGGGTAGTCCGGTTTGGCGGACAGCAAAGGACTTTTGATTACACGCCTATTTCAGACCACACTCAGCAGCTCCCACAGATTTAGAAGGTGCATGGCTGACACTCGGGTGTTGGTTAAGCAGCATCAGCAGATCCTTTAGATACAGGATAGCTAAAGACATCGATGGACAAGACTCAGAAAATTAAGAACGGTCATGTGCACTGTTGCTCTCCTGTGCAGCACTGTGGCTGGGGGCAGCTGCCCAGGCCCATGTAACTGACTGACCTCTTTACGAATGGATTCTTGCCAAAAGAAAATAGGCAAAAGGGCCATGTGCAATTTGAGAACTAATTCTCAATCTCCTTCTGGCTCTCCACCTCCCCACTTCTCTGTAGGCCACTGGAATTACCTTTGGTAACCTCAAAAGCCAGGGTTTATGGATGGTAGCTGCCGGGACTCCATAGCCTCCAGCATGCTGGAATTAGTAGAACTCCCCTCATCCCACTCCCTTTTAGAGAGTTATACTGACTGGGGTGATGTTTGCTGTGTGAGACACTGGAGTTCAGTGTTGGCTTATGATGCCAGTATTTTATTTATCCATTTGTGTGTGTGTGTGTGTGCACACGCGCACACACACACACACACACACACACACACACACACACACGTAAGTACAGGTGTCCTCATCACTACAAGACAACCCTGGATCCCCCGGAGCTGAAGTTACAGGTAGTTGTCAGTCATTTGTCATGAGTGCTAGGAATCTAACACAGTAGACTGCAAGTGCAGCAAGCTCTCTTAACCACAGAACCATTTCTCTAGCCCCCACACGGCCAACATTTTACACCTGAGGATGACTGACTGACAATGGAGGCATGGGCAGACTGTTAGGCATTAGTGCAGCTAAGGAGTCATGGGTACTAAGGCAGTAACTAGAGGGAGCCCATGCTACTTCCTGGAAACAGTATTTACTGACAAGTTGATCACTAACGACGGGGACACTGGGTGATACTTAGGCTTCCAGTGCTCAGTTCAGCCTGTTTGTGACCTTTACTACGGTAAGTTCTGTCCAGTGCCACTTGACAAAACCCTCTGGCCTTTTCTAGTCGGAGTTGGTCCTACCCTTGAGGAGTGGCATCATCCAGGGTAGCCTGCATCTTTCCAGGGGAGTGCCACCAATACTTCTCACACCCTATCAATATGCCTGTGAACGGGGATCCTGCTCTTAGAACCTGAGTCTGGATAGGCCATGCCTTAGGAATCCCAGATACACTCTACAGTGTCTGTGGAAAAGATGTCCTTGGGAAATTTCTAGAAGCACTGCTAGCAAGCCCCTTCCAATTTTTCATGGACTTTTCTCAGTAGTACGTGCAGTCAAGTCAGGTAACTTCCTGATATCTGAGTCCTAGTGACAGTGTCCAGGGGAAATGTACTTAGATTATGACCCCTCAGACTGGGAGTCTCAGGCCAGGGGTAATGACCTCTCAGACTGGGAGTCTCAGGTTCAGGTGTGCAAAGTTAAGTTGTTTATCAACAGCAACCAACTTTCTCAGTTACAGCTGTAAAATGTACACTTGACAGACCCTGGGATATCTAGACATCAGGTCTGCCTTGGGAAATCTAGACGGTACAGGGCTGGCTCTAATAACGCAGTGGAGCTGAGCTCGAATGTGGCTCTGCCTTCTCTGTATGGTCTTGAGCAAGGACCCTTATGTGATAAAGAGTCAGTCACACAGCCCACAGTAAGGGACAGATATTACTGCTGCTGCTGCTGACAGAGTTCACAGCCCACAGCATCCTGACAGCAAGTACTTGCTGGCTTAGCTGTGCTTTTTCAGAGACAGACAAAAACTGGAATTCAGGTTCAGGGTGGTAAGTCATAGGTGTTGTGTTCCAGCAGGCCTGGCCTCTTCCCTTAGGGCATCATTACTTCTGTACCTACCTTCCTTCTTCAAGGGTGTAGATGAGGGTGAGGGTCAACTCTGGGAGGTTACTGGCCTCGGTCGTGGAACTGAGGCCTTAGTCTTGGGCCTGTCCCGCCCTCAGCTGTCCTGTCAGGGTCACCCCCACCCACCGCACAGCAGGGGGGCACCCCCCCACCTTGTTCAGTGCTGAACATCTCAGATTCCATTTTCCAAACTCAACAGCCTGGACATGAGCCTTTGGCCGCCCACGAAGCAAGCAGCTGTTTTCTGCTTGCGTTTCCTCATTGGCGTCTCCTCCAGTCTCTCATGAGCTACGGAGTGTGACTGATTCCCACTCAGAAATACTTCCACTCATGATCCTGAAGCAGCACCAAGCTTCTGCAACAGGTGCCCTAGTAGGGTGGAGAGCTCAGTACAGCTCACCATACTGTTGTCTCGAGTCACAGGGACAGGTCTCGGCACAAGGCTAAAGGCTTTCTCTGATCTGCTAGCAGACTGCTAGCAACCTGCCTGCTGGCAGATGTCAGGAGGGCCTTGTTCCCTAGGGAAACAGGCACACCTTCTACAAGAACCCAAGGAAACCCTGGGTAAAGCCTTCTTCCACGCTGCTGTGACTCTCTGGATTCAGTTCCACACACACACAAAAGAAACATTTCCTAACTGTGCCCATATTCCCAGAGAAGTGGACACCCTGACTCGGAATAAAGTACTGTAAGAGCGGCCAGGCTCCTGATTCATGTGTATCTTCACGACATCATACTGTTGTTTTTCTTCATTTACTTAGTATCCCAGGAGGCTTCAGACACACCATCTTCCTGAAGCTCCCCAACGCTGGGATTACAGGTATGCACCACCACACTGGGTGACATTGCACAGATTGATGTCTTTCTATTGTTGAAAAACTTGATGGTCAAAAATATAAGAAAATACAAAATCATAAACAGAAGGAAAGACCTTCATCAAATGATTTGTGGGGTTGGAGAGATGGCTCAGTACTTAAAAGAATTTGCTGCTCTTATAGTGGACTCAGGTTGAATTCCCAGCACCCACATAGGGTGGCTCACAACCTCCTGTAACTCTAGCTCCAGGGGCTCCAATGTCCTCTTCTGGCTTTTGCAGCCACCTGCATGCATATGGTATACACACACAAGATGGCACACACACATATACACATACATAAAAAACACACATATACACATACATAAAAAAATCCAAAATTACAGTGATGTGTGCCTGAAAACCCAGTACTCAGGAGGATGAGGCAGGAAGGAAGATCTGTCAGTTCCAGGTCAACTTGGACCAAAGAGCTAGGCTGAATCAAAGGGTTAGGATTGCATTGTCTAGGGTATCTTACTTTTAGTTATGAGAAAATTTCCATGTCACAATTTAAGACCCTGTCTTTAGCTGACTGCCTTCTCTTCCACTGACTGGATGTTCATATTTGTAAGGACTATTCTCTGAAGGAATGCATTCTGGCTGGGCGAGGAATGCCTGGGCAACGGACCCACCTCAATTAGTGTTCTGGTCCTGGGAGTCAGTTTCCTTTTCTTTGGCAGATGCCCACTCTGGCAGCATTCATGTAAGGCACCAATTTTTCTTGCTCACAAATTCTCTTTACCCACTTCTCCCAAAGAAATAACCTTCATCCACTCAGAGCCTGAATCTCGCAGGAGCTAGCAACTTTTATGTTAGACCTACAGGACCAAGCCAGGCTCTTGGCTTCTCACCAGCCAACCATTTGCCCCGACAGAGTAGGCACCACTACAGTGTTTTCCCAGACTTTGAGACTGACTAGTTTCCCTTGAGGGGAGCCCTACCAGACCGCTGGGGAGGCTGACATTTATCATGTTGTCATGCATCAATCGAGACAGGCATTTAGGTGAGGGCCCAGTTACACAGCAGGACAGCCTGAGAAAGCCAGATATGAGTTTACACCCTGCCTCTTCTGTGTATTAGCTTTGAAAACTAGGCAAATTACTGAGTTTCTCAGCTTGCTGTGTTTTTGTTCTGTTTTGTTTCATCTTCATGAGAATAATTCCTACCCTCTAGGGTTCTGTAGAAACTGAGATAATGAGTTTCTGACTCAGATCACACCACACCCCATGCACTCACCGACAGGGAACAATTTTCTGCCCAATTGTTCCATCATATCTACCATCCCCTAGGAAGTACCAATGAGTTCATGTTTTCAAGTTTCATCTTCTTGGAGAGAATGTTCTCCAACGCCCAGTGTGTCGGTCCAGAAGCCTACAGACTTTATTGGTCCAGTGCTCAGGGTAGATTATGCCCAACTGAAGGACAGCCTACCCTTAGTTCATCAGGGCCACTGAGCTCATTCCTGGAGAACACGAAACAACCAAAGCCTCACCCTATCTTCACATACTCCTGTGTGTCACGAGACTGTCACCTGTGTCCGCCTGGGGATCCTCTTAACATAACTCTCCAGAACTGAGGCTCTGCCTTCCTCTCTGATCCAAATCTCTCCCACCTCTACCTCCTCACAGTACTGGACCAAACCCATCCTGGGTAAGATGAAAATGAAGGAGAAAGGACTGAGTAGAAATTATGGTTCAGAAAGATTCATTAATCCAGTGTTTTCAAACTTTGGTGGTAGGATCACTGGTAGGTTTCCTTTGCGGCAGAGTCTAATGTAGCTAAAGATAGCGTCAAACCCCTGGTCCTTCTGCCTCTCCTACGCTGGGATCCCAGGTGTGCTGCTGCAGTTTCTCTGGTAGAGCCGCTTTGCTTTTTGGGTTGGAGATGGAACCTAGGGCCTGGCCATGCTAGGCTCACACTCTACTCCTGAGCTATACCCTTAGCAGCCTCATTTGTAAAAAATTCTAAATCCCTTATGATGGCTACAATTAAATTACAATTTCTAGGCATGGAGACCTGGCACAGCGTCAAGCTCAAGATCCTGTGCATGAGCCTCTCTTGCTCATGGGCCTGGATGAGCACGGCCTAGAGGGAGGTCAAGGTGACGTATGTTCAAGGTGACAGACCATAGGCATTCCAGGGAGGCAGCAAGAACCAGGCCTGTAATGGTGGCGGACACCTGTTTGTTCCCAATGAACCCTTGGAACTGGAATACAGGGCTGTTCCGAGATCACAGATATGTCTCAGAGTGATATACACGTATGACACTAAAAGTCATCTGAACGGCAGGAGACAATGACAGCCACCTCTGGGTAGCACTGGATTGTAGACACGGAGCTTCCGCATCCTGAAAAGGCTAGGTTCTTCTCTCCTCCCCACAACTAAGCATGGAGCCCTTGCTCAGACCACGTCTATAAGAGCACATTATGAATGATTCTCATAACAATGAGCTTTGTGTAATTTACTGGCGAGCTGGCTCCACTCCTGGCCATCTATTAAACAGCTAAATCAAAACAGTTTGGACACAGGAGGTGACACCCAGGACGCAACAACTCCTCTCTGGTGAACTTGCTTTTGCTAGTGACATTCTGGGGGCCAAATTGATGGCATCACTATCTGAGGCCCACGTGAGCCATGTGGGGTTCAAACCCCTGCTGGGCTGTGACGGGGCACTGGTGGGGATCAGCAGCTCAGAACACAGTTTCACTCACCACAGAGCACACTCCACACACAGAAACAGAAGTAAACTGAAGTCCTATCCCAGAGCATGGACCTCAGACTCAGAAGAGGCCACCCAGCTGGAGGGGAAGAGACCTTTGTGACATCTATATGAAAGGTGCTGGAGACACGCAGAACAATTTGTAGAGATGCCAGTGTGCACGTCCAGTTCCACAAGTGAGACTCTGAACGTATATCCAAGGGTCTTGTCTGTCCTGGAAGCTCAAAGTCCAGCCAGCACCACCTGGACGCCGACCGTTGTGCAGCTCCCGAGCCTGCATGGCCCCTCTAGTCTGTGTGACTCCTTGGACAGTACCAATGGCTCTGATGTTTGTCTTTTCTCTTGTCCTAAGCTAACATCCTTTCCTTGATCAGGGCAGAGAAGGAGGATCCTTGAGGCCCTGGTCACTCCTGCACCAGGAAATTGATGAGGGCAGTCCTGGGGGAGAGGAAGGACTTCTTGATGCTTCTCCCCTGCAACAGCCGGGTACCCAGCTCACTCTGGAGAACAAACTCGTGGACTTTGTCCTGGTCCTGGGCAACTTGTTGGGGCACAGAGATCTTGCCATAGGCCTTGTTGTTGATCTGTGAAGGAAATGAGCAGAGAGAGTGAGGAGAGTCCACAGGGAGGTAGCTGTCAGGGTGCTCTGACTCCTAAGCTAAGGACTCTTCCTAAACATGGGCTTCCTAAGGTCCACGTCTGGCACAGGCACAATGTGGCAAGGCTTGCTGGCAGCCTTCAGGGACTTGCTGTTTCTCAGTCTCTAGGGTGGATGTAATGTTGGCACTTTCCACAATACACGTTCATTTTGTTTATTCTCTTCCTTCTTGTGTGCTTTTCTGTCTGTCTGGGCTTTAAGCTCTGTGAGGATAGGAACCCTCTTGTCCCACTGGATTTTTTTGTTCTTGTTGAGACAAAGTCGTATCATGTATCCCTGGCTAGCATCCAACTTACAGTGGCCCTCCTGCCTCAGAATATCACAGAGTAAACTACTGTGCCTGGCTTTTGTTTGATTTTGCATCTCTATGACCTAGCACTATGCCTGGCCTAGAGTCAGGACTGGACGTGGGTGAGTTGCTTCCTTAACTAAGAATGGTGTAGCCTCCGATAAAACAAGGAAAGCCACATTTGGATGAACATGACCTAGTTCCACTGCACTGCACCTATCTTCCAGACGATCAGGTAAAAAGCCTGTCCTGGTCTCCTCACCTTCTGCCACTTAAGCCATTAACAGATGTCCCTAAAACTGCCTCATATTAAACACATCGCATCTGCATAGAGGGGAACCTACAAGGATCTACTTTTGGCACTAAAGGTTTACAGGAAAAACAAAACAAAACAAACTACTCTCTCTGGGCCAGGTGGCACAGGCCTGTAATTCCAGATATCTTGGAGGCTGAGGCAAGAGGATCAAGCTCAAGGTCAGCTTGGACAATTTAATAAAACATAAGAAGAGGCGGTGGTGGCGCATGCCTTTAATCCCAGGATTCAGGAGGCAGAGACAGGCGGATCTCTTGAGTTCGAGGCCAGCTTGGTCTACAAGAGCTAGTTCCAGGACAGGCACCAAAGCTACACAGAGAAACCTTGTATTAAAAAACAAACAAAACAAAACAAAACAAAACAAAAGGGTTGGGAATGCAGCTAAGCAAGACACTACTTGCCGAGAATGAATGTCCTGGGCTCTAGGTTCAACCCCAGAACCCCAAAACAAACTAAAACAAAAACTTGAACCTTGTACTTCTCCTCCTTCATTACCCTTATATATGGAAAATAGTGCAATTTGCCAAAAATAAAAAGGGGAAAAGAGTTTTATGTAACTTTACTGAAATATGCTTGACAGAGGCATTATTTTATTTCACTTTACGTGAGTGGGTGGTTTGCCTGCAAGTATATCTATGCAACGCATGTGTGCCTGGTGCCAGTGGAGGCTGGAAGCGGACAGCAGAGCTCCTAGAAATGTAGTAACAAGTAATTGTGAACCACTACATGGGTGCTGGGAATCAAATTTAGGTCCTCTAGAAGAGCATCTGGTACTCTTAACCACCGAGCCATTTCTCCAGCCCTAGAGAGGTATTCTTCACTGACAGACGTGTGTCACCTTCTATGTATCTCCCCACCCTGTCCCCTTAAGCCTACCCAGGTGCTCCTAAATGCAGCGGGAAGACACTGGAGTCATAAGGCAGATCGGGCTGGTATTTCCCCTTTCTAGGTCCTTCCAGGCCCTGAGAGTTGAGGCTTGCATGCTTCTGGGATATAGTGAAGGAACAGGAAGGGAACACAGACCTCTGTGCTGGCTCGGGGACTGGGTCGATGGGTCACTGGTAGGAGAGGGATAGTCTGCAGACCACCGTCTAGCACCACGGCTGTGGGTGTCACTCACCAGAACGGCCATCTGAACCATATCAGGCTGCTGAAGGAACTGAGAGTCCACCGTGGGCCAGGCCTGCAGCATCACACCAGTATCCCAGGCATAGTGGTCACAGAGCTTGCTTGGTACCAGTGCCAGGCCTGCAACACAAGGCACAGAGACAGAAGTCAGGCCGCTCTGAACACACAGAGGGCTCATGAACAGGAGCAAGGCTGCCCTTGGCTTCGAGCCTTCTGAGGAAGCTCGGGATGCCACAACGTGACTCTTTCCACGAGGCTGCAGACCGGCCACTCTGAGGGGTGCTACTGCTTTTTGTTCTGTTGGCTTCTGTCTTGGGTTCTTGTGCCAGTATCAGAGATTTCTTTTAAAACTTTTTCCAATTTGACATTCTTGTGACTTATGGCTGATCAGTGGGGTAGAAATGAAGACTGCGTGGAGCCTGAGAACCAAGCGGTACTCTGGTGCCCAGGGAGGAGCTGACCTCTTCCCACAGCTGGTCTGTGACCCCGTGTTCCACGCAGCCTTTCTATAAAAAGCACACAGAGATGTGAAGATGGGTGGACATGGTACTCTGAAATGAGCGGGAAAACAAGACTGCTGATGTTCTGGGGAAGGAATGTCTTCCTGAGAACTGGCCCCTAAGTACAGGCTGTCTTCACAGCTTCTCCTGTCACAAGTCTTTGATCTTTGGTATCAAAACCTTGTCTGGTCCTTTTCCACATAGAGTGCACTGGACAGAAGGATGTCCTCAGCCCTCGTGAGAACTTAGCTCTCTCACCCTACTACATACTCTAGCTTCCGGTTCAGGGGAGGCCACACGAAGGTGGTCAGGTATAAAGCCTCTCAAGGCTTCTTCCAGAGAGTGCAGGTGCTTCTTCCTTCTGTCTTTAGGGCTAGGAATGGACCCTTCAGACATGCTAAGTATATGCTCCACCACTAATATATACCTCAAGATCCCCCTTTTCTTTCTTAAAATATTTATTTTTATTTTATACGTATTAGTGTTTTTGCCTTCATGTGTGCTGTGAGGGTGTCGGACACTCTGGAACTGGAGTCACAGAGAGTTGTGAGCTGCCATGTGGTTGCTGGAAATTGAATCCAGGTCCTCAAGAGTAGTCAGTGCTCTCAACCTCTGAGCCATCTCTTCAGCCCCCCCTTTTTCTTTCAAAAACACTGTTTTACAGGGTTCCACAAGAAGCAGTTATTGCTTTTATACATATGTGTGTGTTACAGTTGTGCTGGTGACGAGCCTGGGCTTTGCACATGCTAGGCAAGTGCTCCACCATGCGACACTCATAGCTCTCCTGTAATTGGAAAAGATATCGAAGTATAGAGTTTGTCCCGTACTGTGAAATCAGTTCAAGAATTTTCTTTTGGTTTCTTTGAAAGGTTTCATTTTCCTTCCTATTTAACTTTCAAATTTAGTAGTAATCTATTTTGTATATAATATAAAAATTATCTTCAAAATCACAAAGCAAACTTTCCAAACTAAGTTTGTGTACATAAAGCTTCCTTCCTTATTGATTTGTAGTCTTTCCTACAAAGTATCATTATACTGGGACTGATTTGGTAGCATGAACACTGTCCAGAGTCTGACATCAGCACTGCATACACACACAGGATCAGCCTTACTCAGCCACGTGTTAGTAATCGCTGGCTTGTGCCCACCACAAGCTCCCCGTCTTCTCACAGACCTTAGGTGAGCCTGGGCTGTGGACCAGCCACTGACAGCGCCAACGCATTCTACCCCTCTGGTCTCTGCCTCGACTCTGGCACATTCATTCATTGTAGCTTTTTAAGTTTTCCTATCTGACACTCAGGTGATCCTGTATTGCCAGGTACTGGCAGGGAAGTGAAGACTCCTTAGAGCCAAAGTACAGAACATGACCTCCCCCTGGTGCCCAGCTGGCCCTAGCCTGAGCTGTTGTACTTCTCAATGGTCTTAATGGTCTTTTGGCCAATGCAGAGAAGATTCCAACTTCTTCCTTCTCTAAAAGTAAGATGGAGGCCACCAAAGACAGATAATCATGTCTTTCTTTGCTGAGCTGGCGGCGGTTTGTCCTGTGACCCAGATGTAATGGGAAGGTTTCCAAAACCCCCCTATGGAAGTCATACAGAATGGCTAGGAGATGAAACGTTCTGGACAGAAGCTGTTACACATTCCACTAAAACACAAGGAAGCCCAGACTTCCTGGCGTAATCAGGATGCTTATTTATAGGTACAGTGCTTCACCAGGCTTTCCCTGGATGGTGCGGCTCGGCTGCAGGGGGCGGAGCTCGGGGCCCTGCATATGTGCAAGTTTTTGTCACTTTGCTCTTTTAAGTGAAAATACCCAGCGTGTGCATGGCAAACACAACAACAAAGCCAAGGTGACAGGTCAAACAGGGAAGGTCTGGGTGCCGAGATAAGCACCGAGGCTCTGGCATGCAGGGCTACCACGCAGGGCCAGCTGCACCCTTTCCATCCCCACCTCTGGAGAGCTGACGAGAGGACAGGACGCCAGGCTGCCTTGGTGGCCCACAGTGGTTGCTGAGCATCTGGGGGAGGGGGGGGCATAGTTTCTGTGTATGGCAGCCCTCTCCGGGTGGTGTTCTTGGGCCTGTCTCTAGTCTCATCTCCCCATCCTTGTCTGTGTTAGCTACTTCCACTGAGTTCGCCAGGAGGGCCTGAACCTATGCTGACACTGATTACAGCGTCCTTGGCAATGTCAAGAAAATGCACAGGAAGCAAGGCCACTTCACGCTGACCTTTCCCAGAGACATGAATTTGCTCGCATGCTTTTGGAAGAACAACATCCCCATTGCATCAGAGGCTGGGGTGTGGCTCAGTGGCGGAGCTGGCAGAGCACATACTTAGCGAGCACAAAGCTGGACTCGATTTCTAACACCAGAAACTAACGATAAACATACAAAACAACAACAGCAAACCCGAAACAAAAACAATCAGAGGACCTGGTGGAATGGAGACTCGGTGTCTGGATGAACATCTGTAGAAGTGGCTTGGATAACAAAATAGATACAATCTGAACTCAACTCATGAGTTCACAATGAAGACAGGGATGGGTGGATAAGGTAAAAGTGTTCGTTAATCAAGCTCTATGATCTGAGTTTGGATGCCCAGAAGTGATATAAAAATTGGACACAGCAGCACAAGCATCTGTAGTCCAAGATGCTGCTATAGGGACACAGAAGGCAAACACCAGGACATTTCTAGTAGCTCTTGGGCCTGCGAGCCTGGCTTACACAGTGGTTAATACCTGTCTCAAAACAAAGTAGAAAGATGAGGACCAACACCCAAAGGTTGTCCTCCGACCTTCACAAAACACACATACACACACACACACACACACACACACACACACACACACACACACCACAGAGTGAGCAGCTGAACCCTCAAGGGACGAAGAGCACTCTGATTAAGACATTTACTGAGCTACACCAACAATGACCAATGAGAGGCTTGGGCAAATGCTCGTCAGTAGTAACTAGTTAGACAAGGACCCTCTTACGTACCTGCCCAGAGCTCTGAGGTTATGTGAGGAGCCATGGGGGCAGCCATCACCAGCAGGGCACACAGAGCATCCTCAAACTCAGGGCTGTGGAGAACCACCCTCTCAGAGGCTTGCTAGGGAAGAGGAAGGAACGTTTAGGACTGGGGTACAAAATAAGCAGGGGTAGGACAGACCATGAATGAAGTAGAATCTGGAGGCTCAGCAGGTGGGAGAAACATTCTTTATTACTGCTTTGTTTAGGTCAAAGGATTCCTCAGAGTCTCATACTCAGTCCTCACAACTGCCCTTCAAGAGCAGGATTTGTTCCTCATCTGACGGAGGACGAGGCTAAGCCTCAGAAAGGGAGGAAAACTGTTCTGGGAACAAGGTCAGAACTTGGAAGCACTCGGCAAGGTTCCCTGTGTGTTGTGGCCCAGGGGACAATGCAGAGAACTGTTGCCTGAGGTTTTCCTGTGGAACACCAGGGTGTAGGTTCTCTCTGTCCACAATTATTGACAAGTTCTTCCTTAGCAGGAAAGACTGGAGACACATGTAGTGAAGTGGTGAGGGACTGAAAGGGATGGCTCTTTTTATCACTGGGAGCAACAACTCAGCTCCATCGAGGTTGACCAAATACAAATATTAACAATGCCACAATGCCAAGGAAGCAGCCTGACACGCTCAGGAAATCAGCAGTAGGGGATTAGGGTTAGAACAGAGAGAGGCCTAAGCCTGGCCCTGGCTTTGCTACTACTCATTCAGACACGACATCTAACCTCCGGGCCTCTAGGTTGTGTCACAAAAGACTGGAGATAAAAAAGGCTTTAAGCTAGGAGGCAGAAGCAGGAAGATCATCATAAGTCAAAGGCCAGCCTACGCTATGTAGTAAGACCCTGTCTCAGAAAAATAAACAGCTTTGCTCAGACAACCTTTAGAACCTTGGGGCTAGAGAGATGGCTCAGAGGTTAAGAGCACAGGCCGTTCTTCCAGGTTCTGAGTTCAACTCCCAGCAACCACATGGCAGCTCACAACCATCTATAATAAGATCTGGCGCCCTCTTCTGGCCTGCAGGCACACATGCAGACAGAACACTGCAGACATAATAAATAAATAAATCTTTATCCTTGAAGCAGTATGATGGAATTGTGACCAAGGAGGACAGAACGTTCCTATCCCAGCACTTTCCCCTCCCTCCTCAGTTACTGAGTCGGGCCCAGGTACTTACCAAGAGGGCACTGCTGAGTCCCATCAGCTGAGAAACTGCAGAATTCAGCGCAAAGTCCTCTGTGAAATGGGTGGTCACCTGTTGGCAAAAAATTGATTTTTACTCACTTTTTTCAGAAATTCCTTTTAGCTTTCCAGAAGAAAACTGAATGATAAAAAGAAGCTAACTGAATATAACAAAAGATACTTATAAATACATTTATTGTCTTAAATATGCCTAGATTTTATGAGCACAAGGACTTTTAAATTCAAAGTCAATGTTTCTACCATTAAAACTGCCTCTCTTTCCACATCTGAGACCGTGTTGCTTCCCACAACAGAGGCTTAAGGAGACAATGCCGGTTGCTTGAGCAGGCGGCAGTTGACAAGCGGCATAAAGACAACAATGGATAAAGCAGGCCATACAGATCACTGTAAAGCGCTCATCTAGCCCTAGCGGGAGCGAGGCCTGAAGCTAGATTCCTCACCACTGCAGAAAAGAAAATAACACACCTTTGAGATGCCAAGAGTTTCCAGCTGTTGAAACAACTCATCAATGATCTGACCTATGCTCCAGAGAGAACATGCAAGGTATGACAGCAATAATTTGGCACCACTCAGATGCCCAGAGTCACATGGTGACTCCCTCTATACAGACAATGGAAATAAAGTTGAAGAAATGCCATCAGACAGGCATGCTAGACTAAGAGCCACTCGATCAGGTCACAAAAACAAACAGAAATCCTGCCATGCCATTAATGTCATCCGAGCTACAGTCCAGGCAAGAAGTGGCCTCGGATGACTTCACAGGCTTGAACCAGCACCTTTCCCTTTTTAATTCAGGGAGGAACCCAGGTGCTGGCACGCTCTACCACCAACCTACATCCAACCCTGAATTAACAAGTGAAAAAAATCAGCCCAAGAAAAATTTGTGTTATCAGATACCCATGAAAAATAACCTTGTATTTAGAGAAATTAACCTAAAACAAGTCCTTTGGAAACTGTGTACCAAAGTAACCAAGAGGACAAACTGATGAGTTCAGGGAGCTTGGATCCCAGTCTGTGCTCAGTTCCTCATTAGCTGTAGGATTCTAAGCAAGACATCTGACCTGCCTGGGTCTTAAACTCATCTATAAAACGAGAAGGTATTTTATGGTATTCTGTTTCTTTCAACTCTGCACCCCTGTTAACACAATGTGCCATGTCTCATCAGAGATTGGTTTCATCTGCAGGTCAACTCCAGACACTCAGGAAATAGGTGGCTTCCTAGGTCATGGTGGAAGAAGGTGACAGGTTGAGAGGGACAGCCATTAGTAAGTCTCAGTAAAACGGCAAAAAACAGTCACAGCAGTTAATCAAGGCATCAGGTCTACCTCACAAAGACAGAGACCCACGGAGCCCTCGGGGTGTGCAGGCTGCACAGACCACCGGGCAAGGGCTCCCTCAGAGTGAGCAGTGACAGTTACCCAAGGTCCGTGGGTTCTGACCTGAGCTATGACGGCGTTTTTGTACTCCCAGAGGCCTCGGGCCTTGGTTTTCTCCTTGCTGTTCAGCAGCTGAGGTTGGGGGACTGACCCAGAGGTCCTGGCCTCAATGAATCGCGTCGTCAGGGACCACAGTCGCTGCTGCCATCTCAGTACCCCAGGGAGAGCATCCGCTGCGTTTTGTGGCGATCAAGAAGACAAAGAAGGAGTACTGGTAAGAAGGAGCGAGAAGAGCCCCATGGTCCTTCCAGAATCCTCCCTAACCCTAACCCCTGTTGCTCTCCCTGATATTCTGAGCCTGAGGGATGGGCATCAGCACCCTGCCTTCTGGTCAGCAAGCTTACTCTCACAGACATGCCTCGGGGCCAAAAGCGTACTCAAGATAGCTGCCAATGCTAGGGACGCTGGGATCTCATGAGGACAGGGAGCAGTGGCAGTGGTTGTACAACATGCTTGGGAACAGCCTTGTGGCACAGGGTGAGGTCAGCTAACAACCCTTCACCTTGCCGGAGGTGTGTGTATCACCGAGTCTAGTGGTTAGACAGTGGTTGCTCTGACCTGGAGAAGCAGAACAGTACACTTGGTCCTGGGTCATACAGTTGATCAAATAAGTGGGGGTACAGATTCCTGAACCCCGTGGCCACTGGGTTGGGTATTCTCAAGGGACAGCTGGAGGCTGTCTCATATCTGTGAGAAGCAGATACAGGGCCCTGCCCAGTAGGGATGTGAAAGCTGAGCCGGTGCCTACACTGCTCTGTATGTCCCGCCTGTTACTCCAGGCAGTTTGTCAGGGTGGTATCTGTCGCCACTGTCCAGACCCACTGCCACAAGACGTAGTGAGAAAACCAGACAATTCTGAGATAAAACGGATTCCTTCCATAGCCATCGGCTTTCACTTCCACATCCGCATCCACGCAGATCTCAAGGGCAAAATGAAAGCTTTGGAAAGACAAATCTCCTGGGGGAAGTGAAGCTAGCAGGGAGGGGCTGATGTTACCCATGATCCCAGGATCCAGGCATCATGTTGGTGAGGGAGGAGAACTCTGTTCTAGAGAAAACTTTCAGGGAGTGTGGAAAGAAGGGTTGCCTCTGCAGCTCAGCAGGCCTAGGTAAGCGCAGGGGGTTGGTCTTCAAGGAAACAGCTGTCCAGAGACCACATTATAATCAGCACAGAGCTTGCGCTGGGCCCCACTGCCAGCAAGTGTAGGGGGAGGAGTGGGGATTGTGCATACGCAGTGGGAACCCCCTTTCCTCTCCCCCACCTAGGGAACCTGAGGCCTCTGAACAATGGAAAGCTAGGGTCTTAGAGTGGGACAGAAGGCTGGACAAGATGACTTCTAGAATTCATCACTACTGTTTCCAGTAAGACATTTTCGTCCTCGGTTCTTTCAGAGTTCAGGGCAGACCTCAGAGGAAACAGGCAGCCGACGGAAGGAGACTCACTCTTTACATCCCACAAGATGTCCTTCTCGGGAGGGGCTGCAAAGAGGATGTAGAGCCGGATCGTGTCAACTCCATACTGAGACACAATCTCCTCGGGGTCCACCCCATTGTGTTTGGACTTGCTCATCTTCTCCCATGTCACCTCTAACTTCTCTTTTGTTTTTGCACATACAGGAGTAGGACCTAGGAGCCAAAAGAATACTTAGAACAATGCACGATTCAGAATGGGTCCCGAACAGGGAGCTCAGGAAAGCAGAGCTGCTCTTAGTGTGTCAAGGAAGTGGGCAGGGTGGAGGTCCTATATTCTGAGCTGTGCTTCAAGGCCTTGTGGGAAAAGGTCCTGGAAGACTCCAGATTCTGAGTTCGAGGCTCTGTCCAGCAATGGACTGTCAAATGAGGCTGGACAAGGAGGAATGCCCAAGCAAACACTATGTTACACAGGTTGGGGCTTGCTAGAAGGGGATAACCAGTCCCGGGAGCAGCCTGCAGAGGCCTGACCAGGACCTGTCTTAGCCTCTGCACCCAGCTGGTTTCTTAAGAGCTCCTGAACCTGGCCTTGGTTCTTACTTGTTCCAGCCAGACTGGGCCCACCTTACCTGTGAAGTCTATATCCTCCTTCTTCAGACACAGTCCAGATGGAAGGCGGAATGTCTGTCCCTTGATAAGGCCTTGGGCTAGCAGCTTATGGAAAGGCTCCCTGAGGAAGGATCACAGGGGGAAAAGGGTGTATGTGGGGCAACAAGGACACAAGGTATCCAGAAGTCATCTCTATAGACCACACCTGAAAGTAGGCTCCTTGGATGCAGTGGTAACACTAAGTTAAGTTAAGCTCAGATCCACTTTCCAGAGGTGAAGAAGAAAACACTGGTCTCAGGTCTGGAAAGCCTATGAGCCACAAAAGCCACCTACTTGCTCTGGGTGTCCAGTATACCAACCTAGAACATGGGGGCAAAAGAAATTTGTCTCAAGGTGTCAATGGGAACCAAATGACTGCATGAAAATATGCATCACACAGTGCCAGCTGCCCATCAGGCCCAGCACAGAAGGGCCTGGAGTACTGAAGGCTGTCTTTGTAAAGGATGCTTACTATTCCCCTCAACATAGCACATGCTTAGATCCTTTTAAAGTTTAAAAATGACAAGCTGGGCAGGAATAGATCACTTCTGTTAAAATCTAAATATTATCTACTTTTTTGTGGTAGTTTGAGTAAAAATGGTCCCCACAGGCCAATAGGAGTGGTACAATTAGGAGGTGTGGCCATGTTTGAGTAGGCGTGGCCTTTTTGGAGGAGGTGTGTCACTGGGACCAGGCTTTGAGGTTTCAGAAGCTCAAGCCAAGCCTGTAGTTCATTTTCACTTCCTGCTGTCTGTCAATCCAGATGTAGGATGTTGTGGAACAGTCCTTTACACTGAGTGAAGATGTGTCACTGTGGCTGGCTTAACAGAGAGCTGAAAGGTCATTAGCTAGGCAGGAAGAGGTTAGGAGGGACTTCTGGGGACAGAGAGCGCTGGGAAAAAGAAATGAGGAGTTGCCAGTCAGGTGGAGAGAGAGCAAGACATGCAGGAGGAGAGGTAAAAGCCACAAGTCATGTGGCAACACATAGATGAATAGATATGGGTTAATTTAAGTTATAAGAACTAGTCAGAAATAAGCCTAAGCTAAGGCTGAGCTTTCATAATCAATTAAAAGTCTCCAGGTCATTGTTGGTGAGCTGGTGGCTCAAAAGAATGTCCAGTCATAGCAGAACTCTCAGCTCCTTCTCCAACGCCATGTCTGCCTGCACGCCACCATGTTTCACACCATGATAGCAATGAACTGAACCTCTGGAACTATAAGCCAGCCCCAATTAGATGTTTTCCTTATGGTCAAGGTGTCTTCTCACAGCGATAGAATCCCTCAGACACTGTTCTTCCTGGCACACTTCAGTCTACAGCAGCAGCTATCAATGGTTGGGTGTGTCTCAGTTACTTTTTTGTATTGCCATGACAAAAGCATGACTAAGCAATTTATAAAAGAAAGCATTTAATTTGGGGCTCATGATTCTAGAGGGTTAGAGTCCATGACATCATAGTGAGAAACAGTAGCAGGCAGGCGTAGTGGGTCCTGCAGAAGAACAGCCAACACTCATAATTGCTGAATTCATTGGTCTAGGTCTGTCCTCACACACGCCTTGTCTGGCAAGGTCTCACTAGTAGCCCTGGCTGGACTTGAACTCTCTTGTATATTAGATTGGCATTGAACTCACAGAGATCTGCCTGCCTCTTCCCCCTTGATGCTGAGATTAAATACATGCACCACCACCCTTACCGCAATGGTTTTATTCTTAAGAACCACTGAATTCTTTTTTTTTCCCCATTTCATTTTGTTTTGTAAGAATCTGCCCAATTCTATTTTGATGCATTTGAGCAAGTAATTCCAGACACCATCCTATGCGGAATATCTGGTGCTGCTCTGGATAGCAAGATGATGTCCATTTACACATGCCTTCCAACATCCTAGTTCTGGGGGGCAGGGCAGGTGGGGGAACCTCTACTCAGGGAATCAGAAATTCAGCAATCTAAATGGACCCAACATGCTACAGCCCTGTTAGCCTTGCAGGTTAATTTCACAGGATCTTTTACTTTATATTCAAAGTCATCTGATTTAGGTGGGTAGTGATCTAAGTGAGTCCCACAAAGGTCCCTGTCTAACAGCTGTGGGCAGTTACAAAGAGGAGAACATTTTCTAGTAGATTCAGGAGGGCAGATAGAGCAGCCATGAGATTGAGAGGGATGAGGACCATAAACAAAAGATTCCTGGCCTTTGTGTATGTCAATCCTGTACCGCACCACAATCTCAAGGTCCAAATGCTAAAACATGCTTTGCCTGAGATACAGCCCACCTTCCTGCTCTCAACTCTTCTAAATGAGCATGAGAGAGAGAGAGAGAGAGACAGAGAGACAGACAGAGAGACAGAGAGACAGAGAGAGAGAGACAGAGAGACAGAGAGAGAGAGAGAGAGAGAGAATATGCACAGGGATATACAGAAGCAATGGTGGGAGATGGGGTCCATTTACAAAAGTGAAAAAAAATCTAGTAAAATCAACATTAAAATATAAATGCTGAGTATCATGTTTGTGAGGTTCATTCAAATGACTGTATTAGCTGATGTCACAGGACCAAATGAGCAAGCTACTGTGTCAAGATAGAAGAGATTCCTCTATGTGTGCACAAAAGGCACCAAGCTCAAAAACAGATTTTGTTTAAATTTTTTGAAGATTTATTTCATTGTTTTAGTGCGAAGGTTTTGATCACATGTATGTATATGCACCATGGTCATGCCTGGTGCCCAGGGAGGTTAGAAGAGGGCAATAGATTCCCCGGAACTGAGTCACATATAGTTGTAAGCCATAATGTGAGTGCTGGGAATCAAATCCAGGTTCTCTGCAACAGCAACCAGTGCTTTTAATCACTTCATCTCTTCGATCGATCTGTTTGCTTTTTGAGAAAGGGTCTCATTCTGCATTCCAGGCTAGCCTCAAACTCAAGTAGCTCACTTGGCTTTAAATTCCTTTGCATCCACAGCAACTAGTAAAACCGCACTGAAAGCACCCTTGTGTGAATTTACAGAGATCACCCATCCTCTGCTTTAGCCCCTTGTAATAAGGACCATTCTCTTACTCTCTTCTCTGGTCCCAGGGCACCAAGCCCAGGTGATGGTAGCCTGCTTTAAAACATAAATCTTATAGCCAAAGAGGTGAGACCCAGAGGGACGGTGGGATGGACAGTGGGATGCAAGATGGAGGGACTGGGTATGCACTGCTGCTCAGCCTGAGCCATCCTCGCCTTCCAGCATGGTGCATCTGGACTTTAAGCTAACTATGAAGCAACACTGGGAGGATTTAAAACAGAGAAAAAATGCACAACTACTTGTTGGAACGCAGTCCAGGAATGGAGCTGTGTGAGAAGAATTCTGAATGCTGGAATTATTCTTTGAATGTGCTTTCGTGCTTCTCCCATGTGTAGTGGATAGGAGTGAGTTTACTTCAGCTGTTATTGACATATGCCTCTGTCTTAGTCGGGGTTTCTATTGCTGTGAAGAGCCACATGGCCATGGCAGCTCTTATAAAGGAAAACATTTACAGTTCAGAGGTTCAGTATGGCAGGGAGCGTGGCAGCATGCAGGCAGACATGGTGCCGGAGTAGTAGCTGAGGGTCCTACATCTTGCAGGCAACGGGAAGTCAACTAAGATACTGGGTGGTATCATGAGCATAGGACACCTTAAAGCCTGCCTCCACAATGACATCCTTCCTCCAACAAGGCCATACCCACTCCAACAAAGCCACACCTCCCAACAGTGCCACTCACTATGAGATTATGAAGTTGATTACATTCAAACTACCACAGCCTCTAAGGAAAAACATGTTTTTGTCACGTGTGGCTTGTCCTTGGGATGGTACACTTTATTCAGGTGACCGATCTTAATTCTCTGAGCATAAACTGTCTGACGCCCTGAATAAAGCTGGCTACTGCATGGGACTTTAGTGTGCCTCATTTTTAGTGCTCCCCCTCCCAAACTGTCACACAGAGGCAAACAGGTACTATCTTAAAACAAACAGGTACTGCTGTGATAAAACACCATGGTTGAAAGCAACTTGCAAGGGAAGGAAAAAGTTTATTTCACTTACACAGCCACACCACAGCCCATCAATGATGAAGTCAAGGAAAGAACCTGGAGGCAGAAACTAAAGCAGATACTGTAGAGGGAAGCTGATTATTGACTTGCCCAGCCTGCTTTCTCATACCATCTAAGATGCCCCTGCCCAGGGATGGCACAAAGCACAGGGGGTGGGACCCTTCCACACCAATCATTACTCAAAAAAAAAAAAATGCCCTATATCCTTATCTATGGATCAATCTTACAGAGGCATTTTCTCAATTAAGATTTCCTCTTCCGGGCTGGAGAGATGGTTCAGTGGTCCAAAGGATCCTGATTCAATTACCAGCACACACATGCCAGCTCATAACTGTAACTCCAGTTCCAGGGGATCCTACACCATCACACAGACATACATACAGGCAAAACACTGGTGCACATTAAATACATCTTTAAAAAGAGAGAGAGAGAGAGAGAGAGAGAGAGAGAGATTTCCTCTTCCCAGATATGTCAAGGTTTGCGTCAAGCTGACAAGAACCAACCAGCACAGTCCTTGCAGAGCAGCGAAGGGCAGATGCAGACATGTTTAAGACCAACAGCAGACTAAGTAGTGCCCTACAGAGTAGGAACGCTGCCCGCAACACCAAGAGGTACCTCAGTGAGCTCCACATGGATGATCTGTGTATGCCCAATTGCATGGTTTTAGCACAAATCTGTCTCGTACTTAGTGTTGCTGTTACTGTCTCAGGTGCCAGCATCCCTTCAACAGGGTGTGAGGTTTCCTACTTTTCTTTCACACTGGGCATTGGTTTCTGTCACATTTAGGAGAAACTCAGGACCCGGGCATGGTGTCGCAAACCTTTAATTCCAGCACTAGGCAGGCAGAGGTAGGCAGATATCTCTGAGTTTGAGGCCAGCCTGGTCTATAGAACGAGTTCTAGAACAGCCTGAGCTACACAAAGAAACTTTGTCTCCAACAAACAAACAAACAAACAAACAGGAAAAAAAGAAACTCAGGGGTGTGAAAGTGTGGCTCAGTGATACAAAATATGCTTACCAC